CACACTAAGTAAAATAAATAATATAAGGAAAAAAAATAGAATTTTCAGAATAATTTCATAAATTAAATCCAATCGGAAATAAAAAATTCCGAATATCTTTTATATAATTCCAGTTGCAGTCCAAAAAACTTAAAAAATATTGGTAATCGGAAAAATAAAAAATTGGGATGAAAAATTTGTTCCGAATCAGAACTTTTCAGGTCTGAACCGGTGAAGATTGAAAATTCCGTTCGAACTTTCGCAACTATATAGGATATATATAAGTACGATAGACATAACTAGATCATAAACATTAGGGCAAAATTCAATTTGCACCCCTAAATTATGGGGTGTGTCGAATACACACCCCTCAATTATGAAACTTACCAAATACCTCCCTATGTTTTCTGGTCAAACCTAACAAAATTTAAAGACATTAGTTTTGTAATTTTTTGTTATGAAATTACAATCTTACCCCCACCTTTCGTCTATGAGAAATATATGTGAACTTTAGTACTTATAAATATTTTTGCCAAAATAAGAAATACAAAGTTACTCTCTCTATTTTTTCCAACATAACTCATTTTGCAAACAGTATTTAGATGATTTCTTAAGCAATTGTTTAGCTTATTTTATTATTTCTTTTTGTATATTAAATTGGCATGTCAAATTTCTATAATTAAAATCTATCATGGAAGTCTGACGATATTTGAATATGTTGGGGGTTTGACTTACATTCAGAGATGTTTACCCTCATTTGATGTCCTATTTTGAGATTCTTGGTTTAATTAAAGAAATTAGGTATTCGCTAATGCAGTTTGGTTTTGAATTCCATATGAAATTGAGCTCCGACTACTTGTTGATGACAACTAGAACTCCCACAGGACATTTGTTAAGTGTATATTTTTACACTTTATCGTACCTTTTAATTGGAGCTTTTGGTGTGTTTTAACGATAATTGGTGCTTAAAAAAATTGTATTTTAGGTACAAATTGAAGAACTGGAAAAGTATGGGGTAAAAACTGCAATTTTGGAGAAAATATGGACCAAAAGTGAACATAGCCCGGGACGGCCGTCCTAGATTTACACTTAAAACTTGGACGGCCGTCTGAGAAATGGAAGAAGTCTCTGGTTTTGAGACGGCCGTCCGAGTTTTAGTACAAAATTCGGGACCGCCGTCCGAGTTGACGAAAAGGCGTAGTAAAGGAATCCTAATTGCACAAGCAAACTACCTTATTCTCCAAATTTTCCACCCTATATAAGACCAAGCCAAGCACACAATTGGGAATCCATCTTTTACGCAATTTCAAGAGCAACAAAGCAATAACGAAGACGAAGAATTCGAAGACTCCAAGCATAGATTTATCGTTTATGATTAATTTTATTTGCGTTTTTACTTTAATCATGAGTGGCTAATTTTCTTATTTCTAGGATTTTATTTTGAATCCTATGTGGGATTTATGAACCCAATTATATGATTTTATGCAAGTTTTAATTCCGGATGATTTCTTCTACTTGTTTTATTAAGTGCATGAAATTTATCACCTTATGTGCTTTCATGTTATTGTTAATCGCATGAATCGGAAGATCGGGTTAATAATTAGAACTGTGGTAGAAGAGCTTTTGTGGTATTAACATAGGAATATAGTTAATCTCTTAGGCAGCCATTATTGAGATTTGTGCTTAATGCTGTGTTCTAAAATTAATTGCGTAGGAATACAGTAGTTGAATCTAGAGTATTAGAATCGTAATACACGCGGAAGCGAGTTATGATTAATTTAGCATCTCAACTTAATAATCCGGGTTAATTACTTGCATAATTGAAGGAATTGGGGGAATAATAATCACATAGGGGGAAGAATAAAATCCTAGGCTCGTTTTCTCTGATTAAATCTTCGTTTTACATTGCTTTCTTGTTTTTGTTTGCTCTTTAATTTAGTTTAATTTAGTTAATCTTTTCCAAATTCGACTGTGTAGGGTGGGCTTGATAATAATTGTTAGGATTTAGCGCCTAGGATTAAGTAATTAAATATTCTCTGTGGGTTCGATATCCGGACTTAATTGTCCACTATATTACTTGTACGATACGTGCACTTGCGTGTAGGTATAACAACCAACAAGTTTTTGGCGCCGTTGCCGGGGAATATTTTAATTATTTATTTTATTCTAGCTCTATTTGAACAATTTTCACGATTCACCCATTTAATGGCAGACGAAGAACGCAGAGACGCAGAGGGTCATTTACTCGATGCGAATGGAACTCGCATCCAAGACCCACTCACTCAACTTCCATTACAGCCAGCAATTCGGCACGGGCACTTCAAGACTACATAATCCCAACTCTCGACGGATTCCGCCCGAGCATTCAATATCCACCCATTGAGGCACAAAATTTTGAGATCAAGCAAGGCCTATTGACGATGCTCCAAAATAACGGGCTATTTAGTGGATTGGCGGGTGAAGATCCCCATCTTCACATTGTCAATTTTCTAGATACCTGTAATTCCCATCGTCAAAATGGCGTTTCCTAAGAGGCGCTTCAATTAATTCTCTTCAAGCACTCCTTACAAGGAAGAGCTCGCCAGTGGTTGATGTCCCAAGCTCCCCACTCTATTTCGTCGTGGCCTCAACTCCTCAACCTTTTCATGAAAGCTTACAGCTCACCCGAGAAGGACGACAGGATCCGACGAGAAATTCATAATTTTGTCCAAGAGCAAGGCGAGCAATTATACGAGGCATGGGAGAGATTTAAGACCCTTTTGAGGCAGTGTCCAACACATGGAATTGCTCAACTACGTCAATAATGCGCCTCGCCAATTCCAAAATTAAGGGTGGAGATCACAAGGGCAATATGCAGGGAATCAACAAGGCCAAGGGTATCAAAGACCTCAAGGTCTATTCCAAAATCAAGCCCCTCCTCAACAAAGCTATCAAGGCAATAATCCACCGGCCCAAAAATCAAACACGGAGGAGATATTGGCCCAATTCATGACCGCTACCCAAGACTCGCTGCGGAATTTGGAGAATCAATTCGCTCAATTCGTTGTGAATCAAGAGAACCGTCCGGCAGGAGCATTGCCAACGACTACGGAAGATCCTCGAAAGCAAAAGTTCGAGACGGCCAAGCTATCGATTTCAAGATCGAGAAAAATGAAGAAATTCAAGTCAAGCCGCATGTCACTGTAGCTGCATGGGTGGAACCATTCCCATATCCACAAAGATTGCTAACGAAAAAGATCGAGGTCGAGACGTGCCAAGCAGTCACCTTGAAGAACGGTAAGCAATTGGAGGAAGCCCCACGAAAAGAGAAGAGAAACACGGTAATCAAGAAGCCGAAAGTGAATGAGGAAAAAGAATCAACTCATGAAGAGCCACCATCAACAGTGCTTTCACAAGTCCCTCCAATTCCATATTCTCAAAAGTTTATAAAGAAGAAGCTCGTTGCGAAATAAGGATTTTTGGACAAGTTGAAAGAAATTCGCATAAATATTCCTTTCATCGAATCACTTCAAAAGATGCCAAAGTGGGTGAAGTTCCTCAAGGACCTCGTGACGAAAGGTAAGAAATTGTAAGGGAACGAGATGATCCAACTCACGGAGCAAATTAGTGCAATTCTTACTCAGCCCCTTCCACAAAAACTCGGCGATCCAGGTAAGTTTACTATTCCTTGTACTATAGGAGGTAAAAATTTTAGATCAGTCATTGATTTAGGCGCTAGCATTAATCTTATGCCTTATTCTACTTTTAAAAATCTTGGGTTATGAGAAATTGAACCGACAGTTATAACTCTTCAATTAGCCGATAGATCTTTAGTTTACCCAAAAGGTATTTTAGAGAATGTGTTAGTGAAGGTTAATAAATTTATCTTCCCTGTAGATTTCGTTATACTTGATATAGATGAGAATAGGGAGATACCTCATATCGTAGGGAGGCCGTTTTTAGCCACATCGAAAACTCTTATTGATTGTGCTAGTGGTGATCTTACAATGACGGTGCATGATCAAACAATCAATTTCAATGTTTTTAGTTCTAATAAAAATCCATGTGATAATAATGATTGTTTTACTTCATATTTTACTCTTGTCAATACATGTTGAATTACAAGTACAAACTCAAGACCTATTTATACTAATTAATCTAGGCGTAGATGCATCATCATAAATAATATTCATCATGAATCCTAGATATACATGCATCTAAGGATTCGTGTACTTGCCTAATCATGTATCTTATCATACATTATAAATGCATTTGGATACCCTTCTAGAAAATGCATTAATTTCAACAGTAAAAACGTAAGAAAACAGGCAAATGCATATAAAAACTGCTTGTAACAAGAAGCTCAACAGATAATGTCAACATATTTAATCATACTGCAAAAGATAAGAGGGTATGCTATACATTTCATAATTGAGGGGTGTGTTTGCACCAGAACTTATAATTCAGGGGTGTGCAAAGTGAACTTTATCCTAAATATTTTATATATATATATATATATATATATATATATATATATATATATATTTGAGGTCTGCAGTAAATCAATCCTGTTTCTCTATAGTAATGTGAGGTAGTTTCGTCAGTCTGGTAAATGACAGGAAGAAGCCAAATTGAATCTTGTTGAAAGATAAATATACATAATAATAAATATTCAATAATCCCCACGGAAATATATATATATATATAAGTAAGCTCAGAAATCAATGTTAGAAAATGACAGTGCACTGCCAGCTTTATCAACTGATATACTACTGCTGCATACACAGCCCTAGCATACACCTTTTTTCCCTTTTCAACTTTCTTTCTCACCCAAAACCTAATCATCTCCTTTTATTTTCTTACCCATTTCAAAAAAAATGAATCAATCAAACAGTGCTCCAAAATATATATCAATCCAAAAAAAGAGAAAAAGAAAAATTGGACCACCGCAAAAACCAAAAGAAATATTAAGAAAATTTGACAGAATATTGTAAGAACAAATATATCTCATACAAAAAGCAAAGCACGCCTTTGTTTCATCATCAGTGCTCATCTCTTCTTCCCAGACGAAGTTCCAGATCGAGCTCTTCAATGGCGTCCGCTGCAGCAGAATCTTTAACAACGTTCTTCTCACCCTTTGTAAGGTTTTTGTTTTTGTCGCAGTTTTCGTTACTGTTCGACGGTGACGGTTTGGTTTTGCTAGAGTGACAAAGCGAAGAAACGACACTGTGTGGTGCGGTTTCACAATTGGGTTCACTCTTGAAGAAATGGGATATCGGAAGGGGAGGAGATCGGAAATTATCCGGTACGGGTGGAGCAGGGAACAATACGGTGGTACTGATACTGATACTGTTGTTAGGGTTATGTAAAGGGTAGACTAGGCACAATCCATTTCCCACAAACTCTTGCCCGGTGGTTGCCGGAGAAGGCGAAACAGGCGGTAGCGGGGGCATCGGCAATTCCGCGTGCAGCCTGGCTCGATCCCGGCGGTGCACATTCATGTGGCCGCCAAGAGCTTGCGCGGAGCGAAACTCCCTCCGGCAAAAAGTGCACATGTAGGAGCGTGGGGGCCACGTGCAACCTAATAGGTTTCCGGTTGTGTCTTCTTCGAATGCCCGGACTTCCCATGAATCATCTCCGGGCGGTGTCTGCTTGTTGCTCCACATGGGTGGCGGTTCACTGTTTCGCAGGCGGATAATGAATTGTGTTTGAAATTGGTTTGATTTCGGAGAAGACTGAGTTAGGGATAATAGCGCCACGAACTCGGCGGCCATATTGAGAATAGTGGTAGTAGTAACATTTAAAGGTAAAAGAATGTATGTGATAGAGAGCAAAATATTGAAAAAGATGAAGAGTGGTTAAAAATAGAAGGGATGGGCGTAGTGGGGAAATGTGGGGACAAAAGGGTCGGGGCACCGAAGATATCGACAAAGTTTTTGTTTCCGAGTATGCAGTTGGATTCTAGTTATTAGGGAAGACATAGATATATATAATAATCTGCAACCCTACCCATATCCAGTATCCACTCGGCCTCCACCACTTTGGTTATGTAAGTGCGTACAAAAAGCAATTCCTCTCTGTGCATTGGCTTCAACGTCAATCTCCAACAACAATCTCTCTCTCTTCACACTAAATATTAATATTATATATATATAGTATATATAGTAAACTTCCTTTATAGCATAGATTGGCTGGATTTGTTTACTTTATAATTACTTGTTCTTTGTAGAGGCAAATAGGTAATTCTCCTGTAAGATTGCTGTCATCTGCTAATTTTGTTGAAGTTTTTGACACATAAAATACTGTTTTATCTATACTATTGATAAGTAGTCATATATATATATATATGACTATAGAAGAAATGTATAAGTTTAAACAGCTCATGAATACTATATGAGGCCAAGTACCTTAAGTATTTTAGGACCAACCTACATGCAAAAGCACGAATATATATACAATATCGTGTTTTCTAGAATAGTGAATTTTGAATATTGCTCTCGGAGAATTAAGTTCCTATATTACTTATAAGTATTGTAATTATAATAAGGGGACGGCTATTTGAAAGACCCTATTATCACAATTTACTTGTGTAATACATGAAAATACAAATATACCCCTTATACAAATTTACAAACATCTCATTTTCCCTTATTTCATTTGTGCAAGACCAAAACTCATCTCATTTTCCCTTATTTCATTTGTGCAAGACCAAAACTAAAGAAAAAGAAGAAAAAATACCCCAGGACAACGTATCTAGTTGTTGCCTGATGTAGGTCCTTTTTTAGCGGCTCCCGTACCGACTACCCGCTCCACCAGTCCCATCGATTACTTAAGTTGGTGGATCGAGTAGCCAACAGGCCTAACCAAGAGGTCAGAAATACCAGACATGATCCCGAATTTCGAGAAGCACGTCTCTCACCGAGTTTTGACTGACGGGTATATATGTACATAATCAAACTGAATGTGTTTCTGAAATTTGTAGGAGTGCGGAGATTTTAGAATTCATAACCGACGAAGTTGGAGGGTTGGGTGTTGGCGCTGTTTATTTATGAGGTCGTATTCATAACCGACGAAGTTGGAGGGTTGGGTGTTGGCGCTGTTTATTTCTGAGGTCGTGTAGAGATCCGATTTGATACCATGGCGCTGACTACATGCACGTTTTATTTGCTGGTTGGAGAGATGACGGTCATCACCCTCGATGATGTGTGTGCACCGTCTCCAATATCGGTTGTCTTCCAACCATTGCCCTTAGGATCATGGCGCCGTCTCCAATAATTTGCGACATGAGAGATATATAGGACAATTCTTTTTTAACACTACACAATCGTTTGACGAATGTTATTTTGTTCTCTTGTCTCTCCTTAACGGGCAAAAATTTGCTAAAAAGAAGAAAAGTCAGACACTGTAATTGTGACGCGAAGTAGACAAACACAATATTATACGTTGAGGCAACAAGATGACCCATATTAGGTAATGACGTCCAATGGCCATAAGGGGCATGTATTCCAACACCTCAACTACAATTCCAAATCTTCAATGTTTTTCCACTGATAGTGCATCTTCACATATATTTCATCTTACTTGATGAGCTCAACGATCAAGTTATCTTGTACTCGAGGTTTATCCATTCTTCAAATCCCATCATTGATTCAACTGTCCGAAATCCACAATAGCCATCTAATTCAACATCTATACTATTTTGTACATATTTTAGAATCTATGCATGGATGTGGCTGATAAACAGACCCTCCCAACTCATTTTTCGGATCCAGACATTGAAAAATAAAAAGTCTTAATGAGGAGAAACTTACATCTATTGAAACAGTGAATTTTCGATATGTATGGGTCAAAATTTCTCATCATAAAATCTGCACATACATTTCGGCGCCGGCGAGGCTTGTGCGAGTCCGATCTGGAAACGGATGACTGGGATAAAGGCCATTTTTTGGGTAGGTGGTTTTGGGGATGGATGGACTGGAGGGGAAGGAATTGTAAATTCATCTATAAAATATTGGAGGACTTAAAAAAACTGGGAAAATAGGAGCGTTCTTATGTGAAATTGCGCTTAGACCTTTTATGTGTTTCCTATTATGTTTATTTTATTATCATTCTCCTTGGGCATCTTTGGTTTTTTGGAACTGGTCGGATTGACCGATTAATACGGACGGATCTCGCATTAGGTATTGTGGCACTGATATCCTTGATTGATCCGCGGCCCGATTCCTATTCGCGAATCGCGTGATTTTCCATCCCATCAGTGGAGGTCCGATTAGACAATCCGATTTTTATTCGGTTTCACTTGCCGTACGAATTGACTCTTATGCCCTATGAATATCCATCAATTTACATACACAAATCTGATATAAATAAAATATTTCTCCCCCAAAATAATTTTTTCGTGCCCTAGTATTTCGTAAAAGCTTTGCAGCAGTCAGCATTTCTATAAGACTTCATTTTTGTTTCTTTTTAAAATTTGTTCATTTGGAATTCAAAAATGTAAGTATTGATAGATAGAGCACCAATTTTGGATTTCATTTAACGTAAATCTGGAGTGGAATAATTCTCTCCATATTTCATTCCCGTGTATCATTCTTTTATTAATTTGTTTCCATTTATTTGTTCATTATTGCTCATTTCTAATATATTTTTATTGTAACAATGCCAGTCTAATGAAAGTATCTTACAACCTACTATTTTTCTTATGATATTAGAGCACTCGTTTTTTTTCCCCTTATCTCTCGTTTTTTTTTTCTTCCCCTAGTCAAAAAGTCTTCAGAACTACTCTCACCTACCAAACTTTCCACAACTTCTACAGATGATATAGAGACACCATCTTTAGTCTCCAACCTATCACCTCAAGGAAATTTCTCTTCTCCTGGTACTAATTTAATCTCTCTGAATGATTCATCCCAAATCCCATTTAAACTAGCAAAAGATAGAGGAAATTATGCAACAAATGACCAACTTCTTTTTGGTTATGGCCTATTGGGTTATGTTGATGGATCTCATCCATGTCCATCAACTACACACGAGGAAAAAAAATTGTCTTCGACAAGACCGACTTGTGCTACTAGCAATTCAATCAACGGTTCATAGCACAATTGGTCCAGCCATTAACAATTATTCTAGGCAGCCTGTAATAAATTGGAAACAAGTTACGCCAATCGTTCCAACACTCGCATGCTCACTCTTTTGTCCGCACTAATGAACATTAAGAAAGAAGGAAAATTTGTTGTTGTTGATGATCTTGCTCTTATTGGCCATCCATTGAGTGATCCTGAAATAATGGCTCACACTTTAAACGGCCTCAACAATGAGTTCAAGGAACTACCCATGGCAGTTCGTGTTCGTAAATCTCCAATTTCGTTCGATGATCTCTATGATAAACTTCTTGATGAAGAAATAATTCAAAATCATATGGTGAGTCTAAAGAGAATGACACTCAGATTACAGCCCAACTTGCTCAAAAACACAATACTTACAAAGGGGAGAGGAACAAGGGAACTCAACGTGGACCAAATCTCTATAATAACTTCGATCATGGTCATTCAAGGCAACCTGCAAATATGTCACATCAGTTCCCACTTATAGCTGAAATCCTCATGGTACAAATTCTACCTCACTTTCACAATCTTTCTACCCTTCTGGAATTCAAATTTGCACCCGGGACAACAAAGTCAGCCCCGCATTGTTTGTCAACTCTGTTACAAACCAGGCCACGGTGCCAAAACATGTCGCTCTCGCGGTCGTCCTAACTCCTCATACTCTCAGGCTCAAGCATATTTTGTTGATGGAAATTCAAACAAATCCAACAATCAATGGGTTCTAGATTCGGGGGACACGCATCACATTACGTTTGATCTTCAAAATCTGTCCATGCACTCTGACTATGTTGGAAATAAGGATGTTATAGTTGGCAATGGTAATGGAATTTCAATATCTCACATTGATTCTTCCACTTTAAAATATCCCACTACTACATGTAAATTAAATAATATCTTGTGTACACCTACGATAAAAAAAAATTCTTATTTCTGTAAACATAAAAATGCTTCTATATAAATTTTTCCTAATCATTTTCTTGTGAAGGATTTGAACATGAGGGCACTCTTGGCCCGAGGCCGGAGTAGGAACAACTTGTACGAGTGGCTAGCGACATCATCCATTTCTAACCAGAACCAAAATTCACCCTCAACATTTGTTGTTACCTCCCAAATGTGGCATCAACGTCTAGGCCATCCTTCTCTACATATATATTTAAAAGAAAATTCTTGCTAAAAGTAATATCTTTGTCTCTGATTTTAATATTCCATGTAGTTCTTGTTTATGTAATAAAAGTCATAAGCTAACCTTCAAAGCTTCATCAATTAATGTGAAAAGCTTTTTCAAGTTATTTATTCCGACGTTTGGGGGTCTGCTCCTATAAATTCTATTGAAATTTTTTGATATTATATAATTTTTATTGATTACTTTACCAAATATACATCGATTTATCCACTTAAATTAAAATATGGTATTTCAAGTGTTTTTGAAAAATTTAAAAAACTCATTGAATTTTTTTCCCAGGCCCATATTAAAACTATTTACACTGATGGTGAGGGTGAGTATGAAGCTCTTTCTCATCTATTGACCAAGTTCGGTATTCAACACCTCACTTCACCTCTTTACAATCCCGAACATGTTGGTTCTGCAGAACGAAAACACAGGCACATTATTGAAACATATCTTACTTTTTTTCATCAAGCTTCTCTCACTCTTCGTTTAAGATTTTACGCATTTCTGACGTCTACGTATTTGATAAATTGTATGCCTGCACCTGTACTATATAATGCCACTCATCATAAATTATTTGGCTATCATCCAAAACACACATCACTTCGTTTCTTTGGATGTCTCTGTTATCCCTGGCTTCATCCTTACACCAATCATAAACTTGAGCCACGCTCTCGAGCTTGCGTGTACCTCGAGTTCTCTCTTCCTCACCATGCATTTACATGTCTAGTTATTAAAACTAATAAGATTTCTATCTCCGGACATGTTGCTT